CCCCCCAAAATTGCAAAAGTTAAGTGGTTCAGACAGAAACACAGTGGCCTGAAAACTCATTTGCATTAGTCTCATGGCTTTTCTGGAACTTCTCACCCACTGTGGCTCCTAATTCGCCCTGGATGAGCAGAAGCTGTTTTCGACTTCTGTTTTCACCTGAAGATCCTAACTCAAAGAGTGCACCAGCAATTGACCTAATCAGAGCAACGTGAGGGATTCAGATGCCCTTTGCATGGAGGTTTGTTCTAGAAATGTGACTGGTTTTAGCTGTCTAAATAGCTTCTTCCCTTACTACGACCTCGCTCAGCCCTATTGATTCCAGACTCCTAGCCAGCCAGTCACTTCGGATTCTCCTTGAGGGGGCTGGTGCCAGCACGAGCCTTAACATTGTTTCCTTTAAAAAAAAAGGTTTTAGCCAACCCATCTGTTGATTGAACATGTTTTCTGCACAATAAGTATCTGTGGGTTTCGTAAACACCCACCCTTTGTGCAGATTTGGCACAGGTGCTGAACACCTTCCTGTTGTCCCCCCACACATCCACGTCGTATCACTTGTGTTACATTTAGAGAGTTGATGGAGAGAGTACAGGACTCCAGATGTTCTTGTACTGCATCTCCCAGAATTCCTCACCACTGGATGCGTAGATTAGGGTCCTTGGGCGTTAAAAGAGTCCTGCAGTGGCCGAAGAGTCATGCTTTACTTCCCCCTCTGGTTTAGAATAAGGAAGGTGTCTGTTTGTGAGTGTCTTGAGCCAGCAGGTTGGTGGCTTGATGCTGCGACTCAAACTTGTTGCCTAACTTTATCTCCCAGTTGTGTTTGCATGTCACGTTTTGCTTCACCCTCTTTTGTGTGTGTGTGTGGAAAGATGGGCAAACTTTCCCTGGAAAGTTCCTTTGAGGTTCTTTGTAATCCAGGGAGACACCCTTCCAAGACAGCAGTTCGTAGCTGGTTTTCAGTTAATTCCATTTGCAAGAGGGAGAGAAGAGTCTAGCTTAAGAGTGCCAGCTTTTGGTTCCTACCCTCAAATTCCCACTTCTTTCTGTTGTTGCTGGTGTTGTTGTTGTTGTTGTTATTTCGACTTCTATACTGCTGCATAGTGCTAAAGCACTCTCTGGGCGTTTTAGAGCCTAATTATGCAAGGGACAATTCTGTCTTTGTCGACTCTGCTCTCTCAGGGCTTTTGAAGCACACCTCACGTGTGGCTGCCTCTGAAGCTGTTGTCCGCACATAGCAATGCAGCCTTGTGAAATATTTGTACGTGTGATCATTGGCTGAGGCGCCTAGCTCTGACCTGCCTCAGACCAAAAGCACGTCTTATTTCAGGATTCTCTTCTCCCAGTCAAAGCCTCCCAGCAGAGACCCCGAGCGGGCAAGATGGCCTTCTGAGGTTTTTCAGCAGCTGCTATCCAGAGGTGCCCTGTGGCCGGGCCTCGAGGGAATATGTGGCCAACAGGACTAATAGCCCCAGATAGCCTTCCCTGAACTTGCCCGGTCCCCTTTTAAAGCCATCGGGTCTGGTCTCTAAGCGCCCCAGTTACGGCAGTCGAGTGGGACTTCTGACTGTGCCATCGTCCTCTGGAATACTGGGATTTGTAGTTTGGTAAAGAGTTTAGGATCCTCTGCTGTAGTTCAAGGGAGGACACCAGGACTCGACTAGGAGAGGAAATTTAAGTGCAGTAGTTAAAGTCCTGTCAAACCACTAATGACGCTGTGGGATAGATAGACTCATGGCTCGCCATCTTGAGCATTTCAGTGTTTAACTCTCTTCTTGGTGAACAAGTTCCTGCTTTCATTCCTCTTAGACCCGAGGCTGCTTCTGGTGGAGGAAGGGGTCTCGCTCTATCCATTTTCTCCACACTCGGCATAATTCTCTGTGCCCCCATCAGGTCCTTCCATGATCACTCTTCCCCCCCCAAGCTTAAACAAACAAACAAACAAACAAAAGCCACATCTGGCAGCCATTCCCCACCACAGAAAGGCTGCAGCCTGTTCATCATTTTAGCCTCCCTTCTCATTGCTGGCTGTCTATATCTAATCCTCAGGGATTACAAACACCACACCTCTGAATACCAGCAGCTGGGCAAAGAGGAAAGGCCATTTGGTCCTTCCGCTCGTGGGCTTTCTGTTGGGGCCACGGGGCGGGGGGGAGAAGTCGGGCACTGGGCCAGAAAGTCGTTTGGTCTGATCCGGTGCAATCCTCTTTTTCTTATGAGTAGACATAGATCAGTGCTTGTGTAATATACATTTCAGTTATTTTTTTTAAAAAAGAGCTGCTTAACATCCTTTGGGTTGCCCCCATATCTTTAAATATCTTCTGAGTATTTATCCTTGATAGAAACACCTAGTTAGACCCCTGTGTTCTCACGGCACTGTTATGAGGCCTGTTTAACCAAGGGAATTCCTCTTTTTAAATATCAAACTGCTTTCTGGGGTATATTTTTCTCCTTGTATCCTCCCTGTATACTTTGTCTGTGTTTTGTATTAAAACAAACTTTCCTTTAGGGGAAGGGGTCTCTCAGGATACGCAAGAGCTTTAGCCAGGGCACCAGACGAAGCCGCTGAAGTCTTCAGCAAAGATCTACAACCTGGATCGCATTATATACCTCTAGCGTTTATTCTCATCCGTTACCAATCCTTTTCTACTAAAATAGACATGTGGTATTTTCAGATGCAAGGATGGTAGTCTGGGGAGCTCTGGGGAAGGGTTGCCTGGACATTGGGCCCCACCAATCATGAATGATACACATTTTGTGTCCTGAATGTATGTTTTGTGCCCAGAACCTGGCTCTTTGCTTTGGGAGACGGCTGAGTTTTCACCTGCAGTTCTTCCAGATTAGCAGATGAACTCCTGTTGTGAGGGGGAATCGAACACGGTCCTTTTCCACATGCAACCACCCTTTCCCTTTAATAAATGGGCTGTAACTACAGGACAGCCCTTCCCAGGGCACCGGTCTTGAGGACAGCATGGCTCTGAGTCCTTCACTTTTAAGGAACCAGCACACTGCAGTTGCGATTTGTTTAGGTTGTGGCGTCTGGGCAGAAAAGTTCGTAGAGAATGAATGGGCAAGGGTGGCGGAGTTGAGGGAATGCTCTGAAGCATGCACACTCGCTCACTCACTCACACACACACACACACACACACTCACACTCACACCTCCACTTGAGCTTCCCAATGGATTAAAAAGGAGTGGGGTCTCAGAAACATTTAGTACTGTCGCTACTGCAGTTTTGGGGTGCCCCAGGTAGGAAGAGGGCCAAAGTTCCTTTGTCTTCTGATAAGTTCAAACTAGTGTAGCAAATGTTGCACCAATTGCATTAAGCTTAACAGCTCCAGAGCCAGTTTTAGCAGCTGGACAGAAAAGAAGAGGATGATTGAGCAGGCAAGGCTCTGTAGGCCTTCACGAACTTACCAGTGATGTGCAGATGTTTTGAGACAGTTGTTCTGCAGCTGATTGTTCTGCATACATACAGAACCATAAAAATGCATTTTGATTTTTGTAATAAGTGACATCTGAGTTGCAAACTCTTTTTCTGTCTGTCTGCAATCACTGTTTGGGCAGAATTTGCTTCTTTTTTAGATGCAAATGATGAAATGTAATTGATCTTATTTCATTTTTTTAAAAAAGAATGTAACAAACGTTAGAAGGTTGGTTTTGAGACACGCAGCCTTGTTAGAAGGATTTCTTTTCTATTGCATGAGAATGGTTTTCTGTGACAACTTCTTGGGTTACTCCATTTGAACAGTGCAATGGTGTTTTTTTTTTCTTTTTTACTATTACAATCAAAATTTAAAAAAAAAACTCAAAATCTTGTCTTGTAACAATTGTGTATTTTCAATAAAGATACCTTGGCTTTGAATCCTTGATTCTCTGAACTGACACGTTGTTGAGCCATGTCTGACTAAAATATTAAAATATATCATTGAATCCTTACAGATAGATGCCTCTGCGTATCTGCATCTGAACCAATACAGATGAGGAGGTCTTGCAGAATTTCCGTAGAACGTTTTAGGGTTGAATTTTAGCAAAGAGAAGTCGGCAAAGCAACAATCATATGGTATGATAGAGAGTCCTCTTGTCTGATTATTAATTCAGGGAATTCGGAGCAGATGGCATGACTTTTGCGGTCCCGCGCCATCGTTTCTGTGTTTTAAACCTGAAGCAGTCTTTGCATGTATGTGTCTTTTTCTTTTGAAGGTCTGCAAGCTTAGCAAGGGAGGAGCAAGTTACCAGCAGATGTAGAGTTGTGAGGTTTTCAAGACGAGGACAGGCCAGTGTTTAGTTGTGAAATGACAGACTTCAGCCAGCCAGCTTTGAATTGAGGTATGTCTAAAGATCAGTATAGGCGTCATTTCTTCAAGCCGCATAGGTCCTGCCTTTTTGCTGTGATTAAACCCTTTGGGGCAGTTTACAGAAGATGAAAGTAGCAAATAGAAAGACAGCAAAACAACTGTGATGATACAGCACACACAAAACTACAACAGGAGGCCGGTAATTAAATCACCCAAAATGCAACAGGAGTCAGTCGATTGAAAAGGGACCAAATTGCATGAAACACTATTAAGAGACTCCAGAGGGTCGATATGGGCCTTGTTTTTTGCCTAAAAATAGTTAAGATGGGGGAAAAAAAGGGTTCTAAGCAAACGTATATAGAGGAAAACTTCATAATCACCAAATAAAAGATCTTTGCATGGTTTACTTTGGTCACTGCTACACTCACTAGCATATCTGGTCATGGGCTGGATTTTTGGATTTTCTGCTTTCAACACCACTGTTTCCAAGACCCCCTCAGATACCCTTTTTTCCAAGACACTGGAGGGAGTAGGGTGCGATGAAGTATAAAAGATGATCCACTGGAGTTCACTAAACCTTTGGATTCTTTGGACAGCTTCGTCGCTAAAGCTGATCAGCGCATTCAAAGGGTGGAAGTCCCTTACCCTGGCCCCTTCCTCGTGTGGCTGTGTCATTTAAGAATCCGGGTGAGAGATGGCAGGACTTAATGGTCACCCAGGTTGAACAAATAAACAAATCACACACATACAAACTGGTAAATTATAATGCCTAGGGAAGTATTCCTGAGTGGGGGAGGTGTTGAACCCCTAATTTCTCTGGTCAATTATCTCCACAACTTCTAAATTGATCTCACTTTCTCTGGCTAGTCTCTTTGTGGTATGTGGGGGGTGGGGTGGGGAGGAAGTAGGGAAGCTGCCTAATATGTGATTGTAAGTCACATGTAGTACACAACCTATGTGTACATCCATATGTGTACCGTTATGTGGCGTTTAGAAGCATACACAGAGTGGCAGAAAATCCTGTGAATTTCACTGCAGTAATACAGAAAGCTGTGTTACATTCAACCATCACACAAGATTTCCATCATGAATTCCTGCTACCTGTTCTTTGGAGTGAGTGCAATGTTAAAAACAGATAGATGCCTATATACAGATGTCGTAAGGGTATTTTTTGGGATGTTTTCTAGATTTTTTTTGTAGTTCCCGCCCTACACAGAAGATTAACAACCTGAGGTTAACAAGCCCTTCCCTAAGGTTGTTCTGGATCTCTGGAAAACATACATTCTTCCACACTGTTTTTTTTTTCACAAAGTGACTCTGAACACCACAAAGAAATGTAAGGTCAACAGATTTTATATTATACATTCTAGATGTATACACAGAATGCTCTGTAATGGTGAATGAATGAATACTTTATGGTCAAAGACTAGTAAAACCAAATTAATACAAAATACATACATGCAATTGTAATTTCGTAAAATCAGGCAGAATTTATAGAATTTCCATTAAAACATGATAAAACAACCCCTGCTTTCCAGTTAATAACATCGTAAATCCTTAGTATAAGTAAAACCTCAGCCAGTGTTAGATTAAAAGGATTATATTATCCATCTAAAATCACCTACCCAAATATCTAAACACAACCACTGCTGCAGCACCCCTATAATAGTGTGATAATAATGTTGGTGTTGTTTTAAACTTTGATAAAGACCTGGCTTGTGTAGTTTTTAAAAAAAATGTTTTAAAACATTTACCATCTTTAAATAAATAAAAATAAATATTAAAAAAAATTTAAAAGCCTTCACGAATACAAAAATAAATATACCCTAAATTATTTAATATGCTAAATTATTTAAATATTTTTAAATATTAGATAAACTAGCTGATTGTTTCCTGAAATCAGTATAGTATTTAATATTCAGCACTTCCTTGTGGAGCAGGAATGACCTTACTAACAGTGGCAAATTACACATGTCCTGTAAATTTTTAAAAAGGTAATTCTTTAATTAGTAGCCGTCTGCTACTGTTGGTGACATCATTCCCGCTCTGCAAAAGGATGCTAGACAATAGTTTAAAAGACAATTTATTCTAGGTATACTGAATAATTGCATATAAAAATATTTATATTATAAAAATAAATAGAATATTATAAAAATAAATAGAATAAAAATACATTGAAAAATAGATATGAAACAATCTAAATACAGTATGTTGCTAAAATAATAATTTAAGGAATAGACTTTAAATAGCATATCTGGTTTTCAGAATCTATTAAAATACACTAATAATCTCAAGTAATTAGAAGGAAATCCTTTTGAGTTCATTGGAATATTCTTCTAGGCAAATGTGCTTAGAATTGAAGCCATGGCCATACCCGTATAAATGTCACTTTTTCACAGAAAACTAACAGTTGCTGCCTGTAAATAAGATTTACAGGCATCACTAAATTTTGTCCGTAGCTGCCAGTAAAGAATTCCTCCCCCCAAAACTTAATTCTCTAATTCTCTTGGCGCAATTCTTATAGTGTTCAAAAATATAATAAAGACCATCTTTTATGTCAATAAACCGTAGACCTTCATATTTTGTATCAGGAAGGCTCATCGTGGAGATAGACTCCGTGGCACAATACTTCAGCATCTCGATGCTTAATGAAATCTTTCTCTTCGTGATACTCTGTTGTGATAGGGTGAGTCCGTTATTAATTTTATAGAAGTAATCTCCAAAAGCCTTGAAAATGCCTCTGATTTCAGTGTCGTTCAGATTTTCTGATAAGTGACAGCTGGGCAGTTTTGGAAATTTCGTGAGTATAATTTTGCCTCGTCCATCCTGCCGCAGTTGAGCTGCGCTGATACCGGCATGATCTTCCTGCAGGAATTGAAGGGAAAAAACATCGTTAATCTTGGCGCTGAGATGCCTCCAGCGCTCTTTGAGCACCTCTTGCGTTTGGTGAGAAAACCGTATGGTTTGCTGCTGTGCTTCCTTCCCCATGTGGGTTAAAAGTGTGTTAGTTTTGAAAGGGAAAGCGCTTAAAGTTGAAAGGTTTCCTCCATTTCAGTATGCATCAGGGTGTGACACCTTCCATTCTGGGAGTGTCAGTCTCTGCTGAAGCTGGAGGTCTGCTCCCCGGTTCAAATATCCCCTTCCCACTTCACATGCAGCTGGTTACAGGATTTCTTTGCAACTGTGAGATGACCATCCATGGCCCTTTGCAAAGAGTATCGACTTGAGATGCAGAGGTTCTAATGAAACTATATTAAAAAAACACACATTTTGCCCCCTTTAGCAAGCTGTTTAAGTCCCACTGCTGGCTGGGTAGCCCAGTGGTTGAGCTCTCTGACTGTGGAGCCAGAGGTTGGGGGGGGTTCTATTCCCCCACAGGGCCTCCTGGGAGAAGAGCCAGCTCAGGGTGGTTTTGGGCCAGCTGCACAGTTCCAGGGCACCCCCCAGAACAAGGGAACAGTAAAACCAACCACCATTTACTTCAATGGAAGATATGGCTTCACTTGCAATTAAAATTCCCCATTGAATTGTGTGAAACAAGGAATGGCCGTGTATAACATATTGCAGAATCTTTTCATCTCACGGTTACGTATCGAAAATATTGCCTGAGTTCCCTGGAAATGCTCACGGCTCCTTTCAAAATCCGTCCAATGTATCATTTTCTCAGAGAGCACCACATCTGAAATCTAAGCCTGTTGATTTTACCCATTTTACTCTTTCTCCCCTCAGGACCCAGGAGGGTTGGTGCTTTCACACGATGTTTCCAAGCGTAAATGTTCCCGTTTTTGTTTTGTTTTTTAATACGGAGTCAGGGAATCAGTTCAACATACTTACGTAGAATTTTAAAAGGCTTTTTGCATTTTCCTTTATCTCCTCCACGCATGTTTCTAAATCACCGTATCGGCTTCGGGAAGTAGGGAACGCCGCGATACCCCAGACGGCAAAGATCAATCCGTAGATTTCTGTTCGCAAATCAGACAGGCAAATGGATAGGACAGATTGTTGCCAACAAATAACAAAACGTACGTAAGAAAGCCGATGTGGGGATGTGTTTCCCTTTCCCATGTTCTAAAGCAGGGATTTCTAGTGTTTTGTGTTGGGATCAAACGCTGCCCGAGTTCCCTTAAGAAGCACATCCATGATTGTGGGCAGTATTTCTAGAAAGTTGGCACGTTCCTCCTCTAAGAAAATTCATCCGCTAGGTGGAGAGCCATGCCTTGGTGGAGTGGTTAGCAGGCAGAGCAGGGAAGAATTCTCCCAGAATTCTTCATAGCCACCAGCCCTGCTCACCGGGAGGCTTTGGAAATTGTCGTGCAATCTCCCCGCCCTCTAGTGATTGTCAAGGCAGTGATCATCTACCTCTTATCATGTTATTTGACTTACCATGTTTTAATCCACGTATAGGAGAAAAATATTAAGAGTTGCTAGTTGGGGGAAAAAAAGCTTTGAGAATGGCTAAACAGAATGACGGTATAAAACAGGATCGCTAAATTACTCGGCTCTGATCGACTCAACGGGATTTTGCAAAAATTCTCAGATGTTGAGAATCCCGAAAATTGTTTGGAGGGCTATGAGCAATTAACTCAAGAAATGTATAGGGCTATCAATGAAGTAAATAAGTACCAAAATAAAACAAATAAACAATACTCTGCACCTTGGTATGATAGGGAGCGTAGAGAAGCCAAAACAGAGCTAGGAAACAGCTGTGTTAGATCTAGAACTGGTTCAAGTGAGATTCCTCTACTAGCTTTAAAACAACAAGCACAATATGAAGCCCTTCTCCGATGCAAGAAAAAAAGAATCTAAGAACACCTCCCTTTTGGGTGTCACGTGACCAGCCATCCAAACAGCTCTTCCTCAGCCCTGAATAAATTGTATACTACCAGAAGTTTGGGAACGACATTTTTGTGAAAGCTATGGCACTTCCGAAATTGAAGAAGTAGAAATTGATGATGTGGGAAATAAAGAAAAAAGATGGGTGGATACTGATAACAACTTCTCTATTTACAGCAATTGATAAAACTGGGAGAATTTATAGAGATTGGGGGGTTCTGATCATTGTCCCTTAATATAAGAAAGGCAATAAAGACCTATTAATTTACTTAATACATTAAGTAAATTATGTACAAGACATCCGCCATGGAAATGAAGGGACTGGCTTGAACAAGAGAATTGTCTGGCAGAGGAACAAGCTAGCTTTAGAGAGGGATATTCAACTTTAGACCAATGTATGATACTGGAATATTTAATAACAAAATACTCTTCTAAGACCACTCTGTCCCTACATGCAGCATTTATTGATTTTAGAACTATGTTTGATTCCATATCTAGGAATATCCTTTGGGCTAAACAAAGAGACTCAACTATTGATAAATGCCTTTGTCACAAGTAATTTCCATTAATAGCCATGGGTCTTCTCTAATTGTATGTGATACTGGGTTTAGCCCAAGGTTTTGTAATTTGGCCCTGCCATCTCCTTGTCGCCCTGTCAAGTTGCAGCTGATAAATAT